GGGCTGGTGAGCGGCGGCGACAGTGCCAGGCTGGGCTGGGGACACCGGGACTGGGGACACCGTGCCAGCACAGCCACGGGCACATGGCAGCCTGGAACCAGGGCACAAGGTGGCCGAGAGGTTCCCCATGGCTTCCTCACTCCCTCTGCATGGATGGGGGGCTTGAGGAACACCATGCCACATGCCCTGTGCCCCATGTGCCAGGAGGCTCTGCCCGTGCTGGGAGGTTCTGTCTGCGCCACGGATGCTCTGCTCATGCTGAGATGCTGTATCTGAGCTGTGAGGCTCTGCCAATGGCACAGGGATGCTCCAGACCATGCCCTGTGCTGCAGCCCTGGGACAGACTGGGCTGACATTCCCCCTCGCTGGCAGGAGTTCAGCCACCCCGTGGAGAGCCTGGCCCTCACCGTCGAGGAGATGATCAACGTGCGCAGGGTGCTGGTCAAGGCGGAGATGGAGAAGTTCCTGCAGAGCAAGGAGCTGTACAGCAGCCTGCGGAAGGGGAAGGTGGGAGCTGGGGCCGAGAGGGGCTGAGTGCCACCTGCCGGGTCCCCAGCCCTCACCCCACTCTGCCCGCAGATCTGCTGTTGCTGCAGGGCCAAGTTCCCCCTCTTCTCCTGGCCCTCGGCATGCCTCTTCTGCAAGCGGTGAGCGCTGTGCCATCCCGTGCCGTGCCATGGGGCTGGGGGGGTGGTGGGAGAGTGCCTGCAGTGGCTCTGCTCACCGGCCTCTCTGTGTCCCTAGGTCTGTCTGCACCTCCTGCAGCCTAAAGGTAAGGGACTGGCTCTGGCCGGTGCCACTGTGTCCCTATCCCTGCCCCTCTCCCTGTCCCCGTCCCCATCCTGCCCTGATTCCCGCACACCCGGCAGATGAAGATGCCTTCCAAGAAGCTGGCTCACATCCCTGTCTACGCACTGGGCTTTGAGAGCCTCCCGGGCTCGCTGCTGGCCAAAGCCCTGCCGCTGCGGAGGAGAGAGACCTTCCAGTGAGTCCTACGGTCCTGAGCCTTCCTCCCCCCAGCCCTCCCCCTGCTCAGCCCAGGGCTGACAGGGTGCCCTGTGCCGCAGCTCGCTCTCGGGCCCGTGCTGGCGCCGGGTGGAAGAGGAGTTCCCCCACATCTACGCCCAGGGCTCCGTCCTGCGTGACGTCTGCAGCGACTGCGCCGG